AAGAAGTGAGAGTTCCTAAACATCTTATAGCCTCTCATTCATAAGTGTGGCGCGCTTCACACTTATGAATAAGACTCTACTACACATGGTTCATGATACATTATCCTAGAATCATTCTCTAACCTTGTACTCTGATTACCAAGTTTGTAACGACCTGGGGTTACCCCCAAGGAGTAACATGGCGTACTTGACCCCAAAGGGGTCTCATTCAAGCCCTTAGCATAATCATAACATAAATACATAGAATAATTGCGGAAATATTTAAAACTTTTACAATAAAAGTCAACTTCTTTTTCATAAACGAACATAGGAATCTAGACTTGTCTCAATCACCATCTAGAAGATAAAGAGTGCAAATAGGGTCAAAAGCCCTTTACATCAACAATAGTCTCAAAGTAGGAAGTACAATAGAACTAGAAACAATAGCATCTTGTCTTCGAACTTGAGTACACACCAAGCTTAGGGAATAGTCGACCCAAGCTTCTCTGGAAGAAAGTAGAATGTATCAACGACCGGAACCTACACTCATAGAATGTAGAAAATATGGGTTAGCATAAATAATGTACTAAGTATAGACACCATGTACAAAAATCCTTAAAACATGCATAAAAGGGACATTAAGTTGAAATCATGTCTTTACCAAGTTTAAAAACCATTATGCACATTTATGAAGAAACATAAGCCAAACCAATCATACAAGCAACCTAAAGCCACAGTAGTGCAATGCAAAGGTAAAGTCCCATAACCTCACCAAATGCTAAGTGTCACCCTTAGGCTACCAACATCATACATATCTTACTTTGCCTTACTCATAGTCAACATACATAAGTAAAGAGTCACACATGTTCATAACTTACAACAAGTGAAATCAACTTTAACATTCATACATATCTTTCATACATAATCCATAAGCCATCATAACATAAAAGAACCTCACCATAACCCCTCTTAGAGTCTACTTGTGCAATGCATAAGTGAAGTTCCATACCCCCACTCAGAATAAGTAGTACCCCTTAAGAAGTCATTGTTTAAGTTCATGTTCATACCATAGTTCATGTTCATTTCATATATGGAAGAATAGCATTAACCAACATAGACCATGTGAGCTAAATGGAATCCGGTGTTCTACCCCCACACCGAAAAGAGGTGTCCTACTTGCCTAAGGTAAAATGTACATTTTAGCTTCTAGGTGGATCCACTAGCTAAGACCTATGTGGGCACATAGTTATGGGATATGGAGATTGCTTCTAGAAACCCTAACTACTAACGTGGAGATTTCCATCTCATAAGACACCGTATTTAGAACCCAACTACTAGCGTGAAGGAACTCATCTCATACTCATACCACTCGGTGCTAACCATAATTCCCTTAAAATGTAATATTAAGTCTTTACTTAAGTTCATGTTCATAAGAGAATGCACTAGGCACTCATGTGAACATATCATCATAATAGCTCATTAATTCCTTAAGTGAGAATTCCCTTCCACCTTAGAATCATCAACATGTGAGTAAACCTTTCACAATGTATTCATAGTGTGCTCATGAGAATGGCATTTCAATCAACACAACAAGTTTATCATAGACATACATACATACTTCATGCATAATCAAGTGTATAGGGTATAGAAAAGATAGATCTTGCATCAATACCACAACTACATAATGGACAAAGGATTATTACTATTCAAGTAAATCACAATCTCATACATAATTCTCATACATAATTCTCATAAAGAGGTACAAATCCTCATACCTTTGCCTTTCAAGGGTCTTGGATCTCAATCAACCCAACCATGTACAATTACTTCATAATATATGAGGAATTTCATGATTCAATAGCTTAATTAACATAACAATATTCAATTGACACATTCATAATATCGACCAGCCCACAATATCAATTCAAGAAGTCAACATGGGGAAACATGGGTCTATGGGGAATTTTCATTGTACAACATCAATACTCCAACAACCTATTCATAATTCACCATAACCAACCATAAACAAAAATAATTAAATAATAAAAACATTTTGAAAGAACCATGTTATAGATTGAAAACCCTAGAATTTGGGGATTTGGAATCTTGAAAACACAATTTGAAGGGGATCCTTGGGTGATAGCTACCCAAGGATGAAAAGCATCCATACCTTGACTAAGAATCACCACAAAATTTTGGGGAAGAACCTTGAAGATCTACAAAGCCTAGCTCCAATGGGTGTTTGAGCTTATGACTTGAAAATAGGTGAAATTGACTTAAAAACAATATATATATTTCCCCTTAAAATACCCAAAACACTCCTCATTTAATTGGACTAAAATAGAAAATGACCCTAAAGACCTTCATTAATTGACCCTTGCCCAGCTTCACGACTCACTCCACAAGCTGTGGTGAGGATCATGACCCGTGGTCCTGCCCGTGGAGTTGAGGTAGTAGATCCCTTTTTAGAGCTCAAGGCTCCGTCGCCGAAGGCACCCTCACGAGCACCTTCACGATTCATTAGTGGACCACTCCCCGTGGTCATGCTCGTGGAGGGTGAGGCAGTAGCTAGGCTACTCTTTTCCCCATGCCCCCATTCCCAAGTCTCCTTCACGAAGGGCTCCATGAGCCGTGGTCAAGACCACGAGCAGTGGTGCTTTCCGTGAAGTTGAGGCAGTGGCTAGCCTTTTAGGTGGCCATCTTTCCATGGCCAATGGATCTTTACGACCACCTTCACGAGCCATGTAGTGGACCACGACTCGTGGTCCCCCTCGTGAAGGTTGGGGCAGTAGCTCCTAGCTAGGGGCAGCCTTGGCCTGTGGCGTTGACTCTATAATCCCCATTTTAACCCTAATTGACTTACTAAAAGTTTGGGGATTCATTTTTATGATTTGTAACTTTATGTTTAGGCTCTAGTTTAACCTACCATTATCCAGGGTGTTACTAATCCATTCTCGAACTAAGAAGTGGCACTTTTCCCAATTCAACACCAGATTCGTCTCTTCACATCTTGCAAGGACCTTGTCAAGATTCGTCTAACAAAGATCAAAAGAGTCACCAAACAGCGAGAAGTCAACCATGATTACCTCAACAAAATCCTCCGTCATATCATGTAAGATCGGCATCATGCATCTCTCGAATGTCGTCGGTGCATTGCATAATCTGAATGGCATATACTTGAACGCATAGGTGCCATATGGACAGGTAAATGTATTCTTCTCCTGATCCTCTGGTGCAATGACTATCTGATTATAACTTGAGTAGCAATCCAAGAAGTAGTAATATTCTTCCCTTGCCAATCCATCCAACATCTGATCAATAAATGGCACCAGATAATGGTTCTTCCTAGTGGGATCATTTAACTTCATATAGTCCATGCAAATACGCCACCTAGTTATTGTCCTTGTAGGGATCAATTCATTCTTCTCATTTCTTATCACCGTCATACTGCCCTTCTTAGGCATACACTGTACTGGACTCATACATTTTCTATCAGATATGTGGTATACTATCCCAGCATCTAACCACTTTATCACCTTTTTTCTTACTACATCCTTTATTGCTGGATTTAGTCTCCGTTGGTGTTATGCACTCGACTTATGCCCTTTCTCTATGTAATTCTTGTGCATACACAACGCGGGACTTATTCCGTGAATGTCAGATATTTGCTAGCCCAGAGCTGCTTTTCTTTTCCTCAAAATACTCAATGTTGTTTCCACATGTGATTCAGATAAGGTTGCTGAAAAAATAACCGATAAGGTCTTATCTTCACCCAAAAATGCATACCTGAGGGGGGCTCGCAATATTTTTAGCTCCAGCTTGGGTGCTTCTTCGATGGAAGGCTTGGGTGGAGGACCCAACACCCTGTTCAAAGGCTCCCAGTGATCTCTTAACGAGCCCACACTTGACACATCCAAAAATTGTACAATTTCCTGTGCTTCAGCATCCCCACAAATATCATGTCCCACTAGTACACGCTCCAACGAGTCTCTGGATGCATTATAATGAGCTTCTGCTTCAAGATCTATCACTGTTATAGCAAACAACTCTCCATTGATTGATGGGAGTTTTAATGCTTTATAGGCATCAAACACTTACACTTTGTCATGCGCCTGCATAGTAAGTTGACCGGCTGCTACATCTATCAAAGCACGCCCTGTGGCCAATAAAGGTCTTCCTAAGATGAATGGAACCTCAGTATCTGGCTAAAAATTTAGCACCACAAAATCTACTGGGAATATCAAAGATCCCACTTGTACCAAGACATCCTCCACAACACCCTCTGGTCTAGCAACTGATCAATCTGCCAACTGCAAGATAATGGTGGTGGGTTTAGGACTACCCAACCCCAACTTTTTGTACAACGATGTTGGCCTCAAGTTTTTACTTGCTCCAAGATCACACAATTCTCGTGCATGGATGCTCTTCCTAATAGTGATTTGAACCATAAAGCTGCATGAATCTTTCAGTTTGGTGGGCACCTTATTTTGGATTCAGGAGTTGCACTCTTCAGTAAGTGCTACGGTTTCATATTCAGTCAGCTTCCTCTTATTTGCCACAATCTACTTTACAGACTTCACATACCTGGGTATACCCTGCAAAACATCTTCCAACGGCAAATTAATGTGAACTTGCTTTAAAAGAGAGAGAAACTTACCAAACCATTCGTCCTCCTTCTATTTTTTAAACTTATGAGGAAATGGTGGAAGTGGTTTCACTATTGGTTGCACTCTTTCTTCTTGTGCAACAACGTCACTCTTTTTGCTAGCAGACTCAACATTATAAACTTTTCTTAGGAGCCAACTCAACCAACTGTAACCCGCTGCGAGTACTTACCTCATTCAGTTGCCTGGGATTAGGATCAGTGTTTCCCGGCAAACCTCCTTGAGGTTGTGAGTTCTGGGCACTAGCAAATTGCCCAAATTATTTCTCCAGGTTCTGGGTAGCTAACTGGTTATTTCTAACATCAGCAACTAACTGAGCTTGATCAGCCATGATCTTTTTCAGCATCTCCTCCATGCTCATGTTAGTTTGATGATTACTAGGTTTCTCCCATTGGGCTCGTTGTTAATACCCATGTGCATTCCCCTGGGTCTATATTGATTCTGGCCTTGGGCCTGATTTTGATTTCCTCCCCAAGAAAAATTAGGATGATTCCTCCAACTGGGATTATAGAAGTTCCCATAATTCTGATGATCTCTTCCACGTTGTGCATTTCCTACAAAATTTACAGAATCTGGGTTTGCACCACATACCTCTGCATTATGATCTTCTCCTCCACAAATTTCACACCATATGGGTGGTTGTTGGACTGCATTCACTTGAGCTGGTTGTTGTCCCAATGATAGGTTGCTGAAGTGAGTGTTCATCATGTTCTGCATCGCAACAATTTGTGCAGTTAATGTTGTCATTGCATCTACCTCCAATATTCCATCAGTCTTCTGCACTACCGGTTTAGCACCTCATCCATTCCACTCGGGGTTAACTTGTGTGAAATCTTGTTCAACTGGGTGAACAACTCAGCATAAGTCTTCTCCAAATCTTGTCCACCTACAGCTGAATCAAGTAAAATCTTGGTGTTGGGTTCCGGTCCTTCAATGAAGGTATGGACCAACACCTCGTGAGACTGATGATGGTGTAGATAGCTTAACAAAATCGATTTAAACATGTACTCAGCCTGGTACAAGTTCTCTCCTCCTTTTTGTCGGAAGCTCAGTATGTCACTCCTTAACTTAGCTATTTTCCCAGATAAGAAAAACCTGATAAGGAACTTCCGTGCAAGATTGTCCCAAGAGGTTATGGAGTTCATGGGCTCAAAATTTAACCATCTTTTTGCTTCCCCTAGCAGAGAAACGGGAATTAAGGTGAGCCTCACGTAATCTGAGTTCACTCCAGTTGGAGTGTAGGTATCACTGATTTCGAGAAAATTTTGGATGTGAACTTGGGGATCCTCATGAACCAATGAACTGCCCATTTGTGTGCAATAGTTGCACCATATTATGCTTCAGTTCAAACCTTCCACCAGGTTTCTGAATGGATGAAGTCATGTTGGTGTTTCGTGAGATTGCCACGTCTCTCATTTTCATCTCAGCCATCACTATAGGTTCTTCTTGTTCAACTCTTGTTACAAGAGTTACTCATTCACTATCAACAAGAGGGACTAGGTAAGTGAGTCATCTTTGCCTTCTCCGGTAATGAACGAATCTTTTCGGTTCAGCTAGAGGCTCGTCCAAGTCCTGGTCGTCTTCCAGTTTAAGAGTTAAACACAACCTACAAAATGAATAGCTAAGATCAAGTTGTCAACATTTGCTTTTTTACTTCAGAAGTTAGATAAATAAAATACTTTCTAATTCTAAAGTCCCCGGTAGCGGCGCCAAAAACTTGTTGCGTCCAATCGTACACGCAAGTGTACGTGGTCGTTCAAGTATTAGAGTAGCTCTTATTAAGAGTCGGGTATCATACCCACAGAGACTCACGACTATAATAATTTGATTTTTCCAATACTTTCAATTAAATACAAGTGTTATCAGGATTAAAGAAATGATTTATTTTATAATCTGAAATTTAAGTAAAAGCTAAACAAAAGTGATTCAATTTCTCAAGGGTTCGAACAATGATTGGGTAAAGTCCAGGGTTGTAGCTCACATCAAGAATCATGCACATTATCTTGTCAAACTGATATTCATCAACTATCGAATCAATGATAACAGGGTTAAATATATGATTATGGTCTCCCGACCTCTAATCTCCTACGATTAATGGCAACCTGACTACATTGTTGAGCGAGGATAGGCTGGACCAATTACCGAGCATTACGATTTCTTCCTGTCTAAAGACCAAACAAGGTCTCTAGGTATATCCCTATTCTAGATACAAATTAACTCTAATTCTTAAGAGAAAATCATGTTCCTCATTCCCCATGTTCTATCCTCTTATTCCTCTCCCAAGTTCAATTCAGACAAGATGTTTATTTCTGCGGTGATCAAGCACAAAATACAAAAACAAGAACATAAGAGAGATTCATATGATAGTTAATGTCAATCCATAAAACTTCAATAATTTACAATCATACTGTCGCCACAACCCTAGAACTAAGTAAATTAGCTACTCATAACAAGAATTTTGATTAAGCAATGTTCAAATATCATAAATAGATCGAAAGTAAAAGAGTTTAAGAATGAACCCTAAAAACAGATGAAATAGCTCTCTAAATCGTCATTCCTCAAATCCCAGAAAAAGAATAAATAATAAAATAAAATATGAGTCTATTTATAATTAAGTAAAATACGACCAAATATGGCACTTTGGGGTGTGACGCAGAGGGATTGTTAAACTATCGTTTGAGGACTTTTTCTCTTCTCCGTGATGTAGGGCTATCATGGACCATTCTGTCTCAAATGCTAATTCGTGAGTAAGAATAAAATCCCTCTCCGCGATGCAAAGATAGTATGGATCTTCCTTGATATTTTATTTTTCCTTCTTCTTTCTTGCTTCTTTTTAACTTGGATCCTCTCATAATTCAAAATCAAGGAAAGTTAAGAGTCAATTCTTGAGGAGTTCTTAGAGTCTTTTCAAAAGTCAATTGCAAATGCTTTAAACTTGTTTCAAGACTTGAGTTTTGAGTTGAATAAAGAGTAATGAATGAAGTTCATTTTCTTCAAAAGAGTATATGGGAACTATGTATTTCCAAAGAGTAAATCTTTTCACATATAAACAAGAAAGGAAAAATTGATTTCCAAAAGTGCCTTTGAGTTAGTTTTTGAGTAAACAGTAAATGTTTTCACATTTAAGCAAGAGATGAAACACTGATTTCCAAGAGTTCCCTTGGGCTAGTTTTGAGCAATTATCTCAAACCACATAAAGAGTTATGTTTTTAAACATATGAGCTAGTTACATTTTGGGAGAAATATTGAGCATCGATTTGGGGACAAGTTGAGTTCAAATAATTCATGGTCTCCACAAACCGTTTAGCCAACATGGGTAGAATAGGGTCATATTTTTTAGATGATTCCTTAGTGATTTTTAACATAGACTAGTGGATCCACTTAGTAGTTAGGTTCTATACCCCGGGCAAGGTATATGACGGCCCTGACAGCGTAAGGTAAAATGTTGTATCATTACATAGCTCATAGTGATGTTTGTCGGTTAGAGAAACTCCCACAAAGATATTTTGTATTCTTACATACACAGAGATATTTTGTATTCTTATATACAATGAGTTATTTTGTATTTTTCATATACACACAGAGTTTATATTGTATCGTTGCATACAAACTGAGATACTATTGTATTTTTCAATACACAGAGTTGTTATACACATGTTTTACAACTTTTCTTTATACTGCATTTATATTAAAATGAGTTTAGTTGAGTTGAGAAAAGGTATGTTCCTTCAGTTCCTTTCAAACTTATGTCTTGTTTTAGATTTCCCCTCGCATGCTTGTACATTCAATGTACTAATGCCATTTGGCCTGCATCTTTTATGATGCAGATACAGGTAACCAGGATCAGCATCCAGTGCATCGTTGATCTAGTTGATCTTCAGAGTTATTGGTGAGCCTCATTGCTTCCGGAGGATCCCCTTTTTTATTATTTTTCAGTATTCTAATTCATTAGGATGTCGTGGGTATTGTCCCGTCATCCATCTCAGTTGTTAGAGGCTTCATAGACAGTTAGTTATTATTAGTTCATGAGTCTTTCCATTTTCATTCAGTTATGTTGAGACTTGAGTTGCCACTCTGGCTAGTGAATGTTTATTTATAAAAGTACTTTTTAAAGTATTTTTATCATGATTAAGTCTTCCACTGAGTAGTAAGCTAGACCAAGTATTCGCTTGGGGCCAGCAATGGTTCTCGAGTGCCAGTCCTGCCTAGGGTGTAGGCTCAAGGCGTGATACATAACTAATGACTGAGTCAAAACTAAGGACTCCAAATGAGAGTAAATCTGAAAATGTCAATGGGAAGCAACCCCAAACAACTGAATACTGACTCTATGTCTGAAAGCCTCTACTACCGATGAGTTGTTGGGAGAAGTCCCCAACTAACTCTAAAAAATAATGAGAATATTGAAAATAACTAACTAAACCAAGCAAAAAATAAACGTCCTCGAACTATGAGGACTCACTACGGAAGCTGTTGAGGATAGGCTGGAAATCAACCAAGCATGATCTGAATGATGAATGCCCAAACCTATATCATAAAACGATGTGGCACAAAGTATGCGTCAGTACTTAGAATGTACTGAGCATGTAATATATATCTACTAAGTTGAACAATGATATAGTTGAACAATATAATACTGAATATAGAAATAGACTGTACTGAAATGTAACTGAAAGTTGAGCTAAATGTAATGACCAAGCACTAATCATGTAACCAATATGTTGAACTGAATATTGAAATTAATGCTGATAACATGTCAATGCAATGAGAGTATGACTGTGGGAGCTACTATTAACAGACATAAACCACGTGAGCTAAACGTGGACTCCGATGTATATGCCCCATCGAGAGGATCCAATATACCTTGACAAGGGTATAAAGGCATGATTGTGGTGTGATCACTAAAACGAATGCCTAACAGAGGGGACTTCTGAACCTACGTTGGCACGTAGTTTTGGGACTTTAAGGGTATGATGAACCCTAATCTAGCTCGGTGCTAAGTCTACTCCCAACTGAATGAAAAGCTAAAATGCAACTAAAATACTGACATGCTAACTAGGAATGCACATAAATATACTGAAAGATATGACATTCGAATTCTAAAGCATGATTTTTGGACTAATTTGTCTAGCAATTATATTTCATGAAATACTGATGATGAATAAAAACTAGGGTTCTGAGTTCTATACATGGGATTACATTAATTCTTCAAGAAAATAGGTAATCAGTGCAATCGAACTATATGAACTACCTTTCAATGGATTCCTTAGGTTTTGGAAACCCCAGGTCTAAACAATTTATGAGAACTTTGAGGAATTGATTGAATTCTAGGGACCTAATGGGTGAAAGGAACTCACTAGTGAAATTCCACATACCTAGCGACGAAATCTAAGGAGAAATCCTTTAGATATCGAGGTTGAACTTGAAGAAGACCTCTGCTTGTTCTTGGGAAAACAATCGCCTCTTTTCTTTTCTTTTCTTTTCATTCTAAGTTAGGTGATTTTAGGAGAATGAGGGATTTAGGTAGTTTCCGACTAGTTTACTAAGATTAGACTGAGTAAAATGACGTAGTTTAAGCATTAAACGACATAGTTTAAGTACCAAACGCATAGGAGCAAAGACCGATGTGACCATGACTTAAATGTTGCCGAACTGACTTCAAGAGGGACTTCACGGGACGTCATGATCATGATGGCTTGTCTAGCGGAAGATGCCCTACCCGGCAAGGGTTCACTAAAATGAGCATTTAAAGTTGACCCTAGGCAAACTCAGTGGCGTTGGAAAAAGGATTTAAATATCTTTAATTTAATAGATTGGTCCACCTAATTGATTTTGTGCTGAAATATATGACCGTTTAAAGTTGACCCTAAACTCTAAGTCTGACAAGTCACCTCACGGACAACTTTACAATTTGTGTGGAGCTCCACAGACTGTTTAGACGTACGTAGTGCTAAACCAATGACTTTGAGGGTGAAACTTAACTTAAAAGCTAATGAATTGACTTCAAGACAAGCTTCACGGGCCGTCATGAGCACCACGACCCATCAAGTGGGTCGTGAAGATTCTCTGCCCGACAGGGCTTTACTAAAACGAGCATAAATTTTTACTTCGGGCTTAAAATTAGGTAAATTTGGTGGTGTTAGAAAGAGGATTCAAATACCTTTAATTTGATAGGTCGTGGTCCACCTAATTCATTTTGTGCTGAAATATATGATCATTTGAAGTAGACTCAAACCTCAAAGTCTATCAAGACCCTTTCACAAGCCACTTCATAGCTCGTGTGAAGCTCCACATATCGTCTAGTGGTCCGTGG